AGCGGGTTCTTTCTGCTTTCTTAAGACTTTCACCTACCTACCCCGTCGACGGAGGCATTGCGTTTCTAACGTCCTCCCTCCGTATAAAGTCTTATGGACAGGTGTATTATACACACACGCTTCCGATTTTTGGCCAGCTTTTTCTCCATAGCGAGTGTTCTTTTAGACTTGTAACAGAAAGACTACACAGAATGCAACTTGACATTGTATAAACTTCAGTTGCTAAGGAATACTGTACTTTGTGTTATGATAAGGATGCTTTTCTCTCGTTTCTCTCGGCTTTTTAGAGGTCGAGGGAAAATCTGCACAAAGTCGCGCGCGGAACTGATTACCCCCACTAGGTGAATGGATGAGGCAAAACCTCAAAGAGGGATCCAGGCATGCAGCCTCCCGCAATGTGAGGAGTCAAACTTTACATGGGGTGAGGGCTTTAAAGCAAAACGTCTCTTCGTTCTGAAAAGATGGAAGCCTAATACTTTCTTCGTTGCACAAGGTTCAGGCAGCCATGGTTCCTTAAACCGAAAACTGCCCGAACTGCAACAAGAAACATTTGGGCGGATTACATCCCCCAAACTATGTTCCATCAGCCGGTTAATTTTTTTTGTTCTCCCAAATCCTTTGAAGGCTCTTTATTCTCTTTGGCAAAGAAAGGTGCAGACGTTCTTCTTATCTAGTTTCACCATCCAGCCCCTGGTAATAGGAAGACATTTAGTTAGCCACCTCGGTCCTCTATTTCTGGTAAGTAAAAGCGTTTTAGGTTTTTGCTCTCTCCGCCTCATCTTTTTAGCAAAATCTCTTGCTGCCCTCCAGCCTCAATAAACCTTTAAAGTCTTGGAAAAGCTGCACTCTTTCTTCCTTCGAATGAGATTCGCTTCTTTTCGAGCTGATTTGGATGGAAGTCCCGCTGAATTCCGAGAGCATTTATTTCTACGCAATCGTTTCCGAAGCTAGGCGCACCCGATCCCGATCCTCAGAAGGAGGCGCCGGGGATTCTGCGCCATTTACCTCTCCCCCGTTACCGCTTTCCTGCGCGCTATTTGGTTGTTTGAAAAGCTGTGCCGGAGAGGAAGCGAGGAGGGCGGGTGGGGGAGGAGGAGGGGCGAGAGCTGAGCAAGGCGACCTCCAGCACCAAGCTCACCGATGGGGAGCTGATGGCTGAATTTGCCAGAGGAATGCCGCCGTAAAGAACTTCAGCCCTCCTTCCACACCGAAAACGAGAACAACCCTGGCATCGCTACGAATTAACGCGTGGAGCTGTTCTCATGGCAGGAAGGTACCCTGTCCACTTAAAACGGGCCGTTAGGAAAAGAAGTTTGCATTTTTTCTCTCCCTGCAACAAACTCTTACGCAGTAACCCGGGAGTAAATAGGCCCCTTTGGTTAGTCACTGTTTGTTCAGACTGCCTGTCGCCAGGTTTAAACCAACAACTGACAACCTTGTGATTTCATTAGTGGGAAGAGAAAAAAAAAAAAAGTCCGAACATGCAGGGCAAATTAAAGCACGGCGGGAGGGGCGGGTGGCAGAATCTATCTGGACCTTGCAAATGTTGATCTGGCTTGAGAAACGGGCAGTAGGTATTTTCAAGGAAGGCTGAAACTGATATTTCGGGATTAATCCTGTCCGTATCCATTCCAATGGAATACCGTAGATGTGCTTTTATAAGCGCATAGGCATCTGTGCGGTAGAAGGCGAGCGAACGCAAGCACAATGCTAATCAGCTAAGGAAGCGGTCTTCAAAGGAGGTTCATTGTTGGGTCTTAAAAGGATCGGAGGCCATTTTCAGTGCAGAGGCAAAGAACGGAGATAACACTCAGAAAAGTTAAGACTCGCTGGGCTGCCTTCGACGTGAACACGCCCAAAGTTTGGGGTGCTAGCATTCCCGGGAACGTCCGACAGTCAGAGGCGTACACTTGTCATTATTGCCCCTCATCCCGATCCCTCCACCCTTTCTTCGCCCGGGTGTTATTACCCTGAGGATTCCGGGGATGAATTTGGAACTCTTCAAGGAGATAAGACGTTTTCTCCCCATGCAATTCGTGTACGGGGTCTATTAAAATGTCAGTTCCGCTGTAAGGTGACGAGACTCGCAGATAAAGCCAGGACTGGACAACACTCCGAACGACCGTCGGCTGTCCAGAAGGGGTCCGTTTCAACAGCAATTTGTGACCCAGCTTCCTCTCTCCTGTCTTTTGTTTTCCGCCTCTCCTCCTGCCGGCCGCTCCGGTGTTTCGCCTTTCCAGTCTCTCTCCCACCATTCTCCCGCCTCCTGGAGAACGATCGGTTTGCCGAGGGAGGTTCGTTGGACGCTTGAGCTTGCAAACTGGCCTCTTATTTAGGAAGTCATCAATCACATCCCCTCCCCCGGATCGAGACGGGGATGGAACCTGCGAAGCGCCATCCCGCTCCCTCCACCACCAACTCCTCGCGTACCGCTTCCCTAAATGCTTTGAAACGCTCGGCTGCCTCGCATCCTGAACCGAATTGAGATGACACCGCGTTTCCGGTGGGGCTTCCCTAATGGACGAGGTACAGACCCGGCAAGGCGACTTTGGTTCCGATTTGATTGACCGAACCTACGAGGCAGGGCCATAATAAGCAGCTTCAGAATATTACTTCTGCAAAGTGTGCTGCGCGTGTTTTAATGCTCGTTTATCGTTCGAACAGTCGGTGTGTTTCAGTCATGTAAACCCTGTTATCAAAAGAGGCTTCAGTGCTAAGATTTATTCTCTGATATTCCAGAGAGACCTAACATTTTTTTTTTCTTTCCCTTCCAACAAGACATACGACCGAGAAGGGAATAAAATGGAAACACTGCAACGTGATTCACACGGCAGATGGCTATTAAAGAGAGCGGGACCCCAAATAATTGATCTACGTTTCAGAGAAAGCAAATTCCGAATTAAAATGGGAGGGAGGGATCCTAATAATCAAACAGAGGGTTCTTATTCACGGGATGTATCGCCAACAAGCCTCGCCAACCCTTCGTCTGAGATGATTTAATTTGAATTCCTGCAGAGAGAAGGGAGAGGACTTGATCTTAGTGATGGATTCATTACCAATTCTGTTTAAGATTACAATCATACGGTATATACACTTACATGGCAGTAAGATCCATGGAGTTCAGATAGATTTACTTAGGGGGTGAGCGGAGGCCTCCGCAGCCCAAATTCTGTGCGCGGTCAGTGGAAAGGAAGGCGGCTTACTTCCAGGTAAATGTGTGCACAGGAAGAAGCCAGACTGCGCCCCCTATTTCTTCCTGTCACCGATTCCAACGGGACACGACCAGCGACGCTCACACAAAGATCCAAAGCCCACCTCCCAAGCCAATCAATTTAAATGCAAGAAACGATCCCCAAGTTAAATTAAAACAAAACCACCGATTGCCATTTAGGTGAAAAAGAAAGAAAGAAAGAAGAAGCTCTTCTCGCCCAATTTGTGGATCAGCTTCGGCGGCGCTTCCCACCTCCCGGGTTCCGCCGCCAGTTACTCAAGTGAGAGGAGCGAAGGGCGATTTCTTTGCACGCGTGTCCTCAAAAAAAAAAAAAAAAAAGCAAGCAAACAAACAAAACAAAAAAAAGCTTTCGCTCCGGAGAGAGCGCTACGCTCGGCTCGCGCGAGGCAGGCCGGCGGCCTTGCGTTCCGACAAAGAATTCCCCACCCTTAAAGAGCGTCAGACGGATCTACGTAGAGAAACGTGCCAACTCGTGGCACGGGGAGCGGATTTTCAAATTTCGTTGTTGGCTTCATAAATTATTCCGGCCTGTCAGGGCCGTTGGAAGCGCCGATTGGCTATTCTTTTTTTTTTTTTCCCCCCCAACCCCCCCCCCCCCCTCCGAATCCCTTCAACTCGGAAGACCCGAGGTGAAATTAGTAGTAAGAAGGCATGTAATTGAGTGAGTCACGTGCAACGGGGGCCCAGACTCCCAGCCAGCCACAGCATGGACGGCGCTTGGCCTGGGCGGTGGGGGCGGGACAGCCGCAAGCCCCCCCCCAAAAAAAAACACCACAAGAGAGCAGGGACCTAGACAGCCAAAGAGGGAGAAATCGCTCAAAATCAAGATGTTAAGCTAATTCCAGAGACCGCTTCTCCTGACCAGGAAAGGGGGGGATACTTTTCCGCCTCGCTACTTCGGAACAGAAGGCCTGTAAAGCAACATGGCCGAAGGTTATCCCCCCCTTCTTTGCCTGGGTTGCTTTTTTTTTCCCCCTTTCCTTTGAAACATCGCCTCGCTTTCCTTCTCTCTCCCGTCCTTTTTTTTTTTTTTCCCTTCTCCTTTCTTTTTAAGGAGAGCCCTTTAACTTTCGTTTTAAAGGAAAGGACCATTTAAAGGACAATTAGTTTTTTTTTTTTTTCAAAGGAAAAGCACGACAAACAACGGTCACGAAATCGGAGATATGAGGGGGGGGGGAAAGGAAGAATCCTATTGTGGCCGAGATCTCCTCTGTGTTGCTCTGCGCCGCCCACCGCCGATTCACCCGAGTTGAAAAGCCTTCGGAGGGACCATTGTTCCTGTGTGATTGAGCAAGCAATTGCTGAAGGCAGAAAGGGAAGGGGAAAGTTTTATACACCTGCCCCCCCCCTTCACACTCACTCACTCACTCACACACACCGCCGCTCCATTCGGCTCTAGTGAGAGCGTACAAGAAAGGGGAGGGGGGGTTGCCGGAGGAAGCGCGCGCGAGAGAAATGAGCCTAGTTGGAAAATAACACCCGGAGCTCGCGGCCGCTGGATGGGCTGTTCCAAGCGGTTGTGCAATCGCCTTCTCCCTCGGCTCGGTCGCCCCCCTCCCTCCCCGCCCCTCCTCGCTCGCTCCCTCCCTCCCTCCCTCGCCAGCCGAGACTCATTCGCCTGCGAATTCCTCTGGGGAGGGATGGGATCGGTGCTCAACCAGCAGTATCCAAGTAAAGTATCGTTTTCTGGGGTGGTTTATGTGGCTGAAAGATGGAGTTAAAGGGCAGGATCGCACGTATGTACAGAACAACGTGGGATGGGCTGGACTGCTGCTACTGCTGCTGCTAGTGCGAGGCTGTGTGTGCGAGTGGCGGGGAGTGTATGAAAAATAAGAGCCTGAGTCACCGCAGATGCTTGCCTTTCCCTCGGAGATGCCCTTCAGCGTTGCATTCTTATTTTTCTTTCCAAACGCAGTTTTTATTTCCTCCTAAGAGATCCGGGCGTGGGTGTGCTTTGAAATGTTGGTGCGCTTTAAAAAAACAAAGTGTGGGTCGGAAGGGAAGGAAAAAGAGCTCGGTTTCGTAACGTTGAGCGTGCGTGTATATGTGTGCTTTCCGTCCTTTTCTGTAGCAATCGCTCTTGTGCAGCCGCCAAGGAGGTGTTAATTAGAATTCAATTCTCTGCTTGTGTGTAAGAGAGAGGGTGTGTGTGTGTTTGTGAGCGCGCGCGTGTATATTTACGTAGTTTTCTTGTGTGTGTTTTTTTTTTCCGCCATCCCTCTCCAAATCAGCGGGGGCGCGTAAAAGTGGAGATGAACCCGGGAAATTGCCGGAACAAGAAGAGGAAGAAGAAGAAGAGGCGGAGGAGGAGGAGGAATCCCAGGTTTTGCACGGAACAGGCCATTGCAAGTGGTTTAATGTGAGAATGGGATTCGGATTTATTTCCATGCTCAACCGCGAGGGAAGCCCTTTGGAATCTCCGGTTGATGTCTTTGTACACCAAGTAAGGACTTTTTGTTAACTTAAATTCTCATCTCTCTCTTACTTTTGCTAAAATTAACCGATCCTTAGTTCCGTTTAAGATTGCTTCTGTTTCATAGGACCCAAACAGTGTTTGCATAAATATATATATATATATATATTGTGCCTGTTCTGTTAGGAACTAATTTCAGATGGCAACAGCAGCAGTCCCATTGAAATCAGTGTATTGAGAAAATACCTTATTAGTTAATAAAAGCTAATAAAGTACCTTCTCAATACAAAAGTGTAGTAGGAAGCCTTGGTGGAGTTTTTTTTGTGCTTCCTGTGTAATTCTGGAGGAATTTTGTAATCTTATTAGTCGTCTGATAGATTACTCTTTACTAAAATTGGAGCAAGAGAAAATTAGGTGTAAACTCTGCAATTTTGTACATGTTGATTTGAACTTAAAGAATCCTCACCCCCCAAAAATAGAACTTACTTTGAAAGAAAATATTAAACAGTGTTACTTTTTGTGATAATACAGTGAAGTATAAATAGTACGTGTATTGGTCTGCTATTTGGAAACAAATGGAGCTCATATTGTAGAATATGACATATCAAAGCCTAATTTATGTTCAGGTATGTGATAAACCATGAGAGGAAAATATCTTTTATAGTGCAACAAGACTGCTCAGTCTTTAAAGCCTCAAAGTTTAGAAGTGTAAATGTAAAAGGTGATATTATACATATTTATGTACAAAAAAGGCATGATTCCTTTAGCATGTAAAAGGAATTACATTATGATTGTAAAAACAAATAACAGCATAAAACTGTTAATTGAGTTAACTATGTTTGACACGTGTGCCTTTCACTTTCTCTTCTGTCCTTTGATTATCTAAATCCTAAAAATCAGGAATTAAATTTTGAATTGTACTATCGCATAATTAGCTCAGGAGGGGAATGAAACATTCAAATTCCTGAAATTCCTGTGCATTGTTATATTCCTTTTAAAAAAAAAATTTTTTAAATCCATTGAGTGTAGTAAGACCTGGGTTTTTGATTGGTTATATCTGCAAAACTTAAGTAATGTTTCATGTGAATACATCTGTTATTACCTGTGGATCTCCTAGCAAACTGAGATATATATTTTTCTGTGTCAAGTTTGCTTTTTATTTTTCTGGTTTGAGCAAAATTTTAAGATGGTCTGTTGTGTGGGGTTATTTTTAATAATTATTATTATTTGGGGAAGGAATTCATTTGCAATAAACAAGATAATAAAACCAGTAATTTCAGGTTTAAAAATATCTTCTGAGGTAATATTTTCACTGAATTCAGTGGAAATGTTCTGGAATAACTGGTGAAAGAATTGCTGTTGCTGCTTCTCAGAATTTTTACTTTGCTTTTTCCATCTTGTTACAAAATTAATATCACTTTAATGGATTGTAAATACGGCATCTTGAAACAAAATGAATATTAATTTAACTATAAATATGGAGAATAACTGTGAAATGAAATATCTGATTTTTTATTTGCATGAATTTGTTTGTTTGATTTAATCTACAATCTTCATAGAGTTTTCAATGCTGATTTCTAATGGCACCTGGCCCTTCCAAATTTTAAGTCCTCCATATACATTTTTTTGTATATATAAAGGAACTGAATGTATATGTGGAGTCATATTATACCTGAAAATCAAACCCCCCCAAATCTGTTAAAATATCATTTATGTAATAGACACCTGTAGTTTGATTACTCAAACATTGTTATGTTGTAAGGTGCTGTGTATCTTGCTAGGCTTTTGGCTTCTGTGTTTACATGTTCACAGATTTTTTAAAAAGTAAAACCAAAATATTGGGGGAGGAGTGAATTGCAGTAGTAAAATCTGGAAAACAAACCTTAGTCTGTTCCATGCACACTTGTATTGGTCAGTGTAGTTATTGATAGGATGTAATAATTAAATAAAGCTACGTAATGATATAGACTTGGAATTTTTTTTTAAAGCTTGATTTCTATATTCCCCTTTCATCTACAAGTCTCTGAGCAACTACCATGTTTTAATCTAAATAGTACACAAGTGAAGCATACAGTATACAAAACATAAATAGTGTACAAGTCACAATCAATCCCATTTCACAGATTTAGACTGTAGAACTATAGCTGTTCTTCAGAGAAGGTAATTTGGATTACACACACACACCAGAATGCTGCATAACAATCCTAGATTCTCAAATATTGTTCAGTGCATAGCTGAACCATTCATATGGTACAATTTCTAACAATTCCTTGGAAAAAGAAATGCATTTGTTGAACCTCCTTATGTCAGATTGAATTTTAATGTTCTGTCTACTAAACTTGTTGTAGCTAGGTATAAAGAGTAAAGAAAGCTAATAATTCTGTAAGAAACAAAATTAATGAGTTTGACACATGTTTGTAGAATTCAGTAAGCAAAAAAATAATCTAGACAGAAGAAAATTGTAATGTGTATAGGCGTTACTAAAATACTGTATTTACATAATTTGAAAAAAAAGCATTTTAGGAAAACTAAATATGCATTTGCAAATAAGCATAACAAATTTTTCCTGGTAAAATGAGCGAAAAGGGGTTTTTATGATAAAATATGGAGCTTTTTTCATTATTGGGTTATAAATAACTTGAAGGATTCATGATTTTGCAGTAAATCTGGGTGAGTTGGAGATTTGGTTAAGCTTTTTTGCCCCATGGGGCAAAAGTTTTCCTCCAGCATTTCCAGTAACATTGATTAAATCTTGATTTCTGGAAAGAGTGTTCATTATGTTGTACTCAGTTCTAGCTAGCCCACAGTTTAACTGCGCTGCAGAAATTCATCTAAAATGAAAGGGCAGTATTGAGTAATATTATTGTTTTTGGCAATACAGGCTGATTTCACTTCTGTTACTGCAGTGGCCCCCAACCTTTTGGGCGTCAGGGACTGGTTCGGTGGAAAGAGGTTTTTCTGTGGACCAGAGGCTGCCTACATCCAATGGATTGGGCTTTGCTTGTTGGTGTGGACTGGTTGCTGGCATGCTGCGGACCAGTGCTGGTCTTTGGACCTGGGGTTGGGGACCCCTGCATTACTGCACAAATGGGTTACAAATGATAGTGGAAAAAGAGGCCCTAAGGTGTGGGGGGCGGGGAGAGAAAAGCATAAGGAAATGAAGAGGCCATGAGCAGCTTGTAGGCATCTCTGGGAGTAAAGGAAGACTAGAGAGAGACTGAAACTCTATGAGCAAGTAAACTTGCCCCTTGTCTACCTAGGTCACTATTTGAGGCCCCTTTTTCTGAAACAGTCTAACAGGTATCTTTGTTGCAAACTTTTTTTGGCATCTCTGCCAACTCCCTGTTTTTCCATCTGTGTGTTACTGGTGTGGAGTTCCGATTGTCCTTGTGCCTGCAAACTGCATTCAGTGCTGCATGTCATCAAAGAGGAAACCTCAAGAGTTAAGGGCGCCACACTGCAGTCTGTATATTGTGCAGGGAAAGGCTGCCTTTTTACTAACAAACCGCTTGTGTGGCTGATTTTACTGGAGCCACTGTTGAGGAATGTGTCTGAGTTGAGCAGGACAGAAAATGGCTCAGGAGCAAGTATTAGTGGAAAGGACAAATTTGGGCGTATGGGAGACGTTTTAACCTGGCCATTGCAGGAAAATAAAGGCAGGCTGCTGGTTGGCCTTCTTTCCTAAAAATCTAACCAAGGAAGTCACATTCTTTTGAAAGTTGAACATCTAGGTTATAGATCTTTCTTTTGAATGCCAAGCCCAATTGCTGGTAAAATATTTACCAATCGCCATTTAATGCTGAATGGTAACTTCAACCTGGTATGTATAATGGAGACTTAACTCCATGTAGAATCACCTCTGCCAGAAGGGGGGCATTGGAGTTTAATCATAATAAATAAATTGAAGGTAGAGAGGGCACTTCATCTTACACAGTTCTCCACAGTTCTCTGTAATGTAGCAAGCTAGATTTGGACGGCAAGGTTGGGAATCTGGGTTTGGGAGCAAATCGTTGGTTTGTAAGAATTCCAAGTCTGCTAACAAGAAGTTGTCTCATTCTGCCAATTCTGAGTTCCTATCACTGTTGGGACAGTGTTTGGCTGATAACTGTTATTGTATCGGCTACCCTGCTTCATTCATACTTAGAACTAATTTGGCAATGTTAGAGGTGACATTATATTGCAGTTTGTATAACCCTTTGAAAGTGGTGCTATGAAATATGCAAGAAGGCATGAAACACCCCTATGTTTGACTTATTAAAGCAGCTGCGTCTTTCTTTGGGCTTGCATGGAATGAAATGGCTATGCGTGCACAGGCATGTGAAGATAGCCAGAAGCAACAGTTTGGAAACATTTTAATAATTTAAAAACATGTTTCATATATCTGCCATGTGTTCTGAAACATCTGTTTTGAAAGATTTACACGGTTCTGAAAGGTTGTCCTAGGTTTCCTGGTTGGACGATTTAATTGTCCAGAATACTGACCAGTCAGGAGATATCAGTCAGAAATTCTTGCCCACCTAGGTAATCCTTGATTTACAACAGTTTGTTTAGTGACCTTTCAAAGTTACAACCGCACTGAAAAAAGTGACGTATGACTGTTTTTCACACTTATGACCATTGCAGCATCCCTGTGGTCATGTGATTTACATTTGGATGCTTGACAACTGATTCACATTTATGATAGTTGCAGTGCCCCATAATCATGTGATAACCTTTTGCAGCCTTTTGACAAATAAAGTCAGTGGGGAAACTAGATTCACTTAACAACCATCTTACTAATTTAACAACTGCAGTGATTCACTTAACAAATAGCAATAGCACTTAAACTTATATACCGCTTCACAGTGCTTTTATAGCCCTCTTTAAGCAGTTTACAGAGTCAGCATATTGTCCCCAACAATCTGGGTCCTCATTTTACCGACCTTGGAAGGGTGGAAGGCTGAGTCAACCTTGACCTGGTGAGAACTGAACTGCAGAACTGCAGGCAATCGGCAGTCAGCAGAAGCAGCCTGCAATACTGCATTCTAACC